CACTGATCCAGAACAATATGTCTGCTCAATAATGCAAGGTCACCTCTAATTGTTTCCCTCAAGCCTTTTACTCCAATCGCATAGGGACAAGCACTCAGTGGAGTAACCTCTCGCTGTTCATGTTAAGAATTGGTAGTTCAGCGCTAATTACTTTGGCTTCCTAACCCAATTAGGCTGAGGCTGTACTTGCTGAATTACTGCTGCTGATCGATTGACATGACAGCTTAAGATATTGTAGCTATGAGTGTGTGCATTTATAATCAATACTAGTTTTTGGTTAATGTTTCAACAAAAAGAATTTGAGGTATAAAAGCTGCCTTAATTTAGACAAAACAGGACAGCATTTGATAGTAAATTAAAATGAACATATGGATCAATGTATTTTCTCAATTACTATTACAATTTTAATTGTCATAAAACACACTGTTTCTCGTTGGATTACTTCTAAAAGTGAAAGTGTTTATTCGTTAACATTCTTTCTCTGGATTAGTCAGAGCAAAGTATCTCTAGAAAATCGATAAGCTTTAAAAAAAAAAAAAAGAAAGAAACAACAGTGTTGTTTATAAGTAACATAACACTTTGTAGTCCAGTCCCTGAAATAAAACAAGCATGTATTAGTTCATACATCCAATATGGTTACTTTAATTTTAGGGCTGTGAGTGGGCGTATGGACAGGGATGTGGCTGTTCTGAGAAATTTTAGGTGACTTATTAAAAGGACAATATAGGCAGTCAGAACACTTTTATTTAATTGAAGTGGTCTGGGTAAAGTGTTCCAGTCCCCTTAACCCTGCAATTGTAATTATTACAGTTATTGAGAAATTGCAATAATTAGTCCACCTGTAGTGGCTGTCTTCTGGTCTGCTAAATGACGCTGGACATCCAGTGTTAGCTAAAACCCTATAGGAAAGCATTGATTCATTTAGTATGTGAACGTTGTTCTTGTCAAGGCCAAGATATGTATTTACGACAGCAAGATCACATGTAAAGATAACAGCTATTATCGAGGTGATTGGTCCACCGAAACATTTTAATAAAGGGGGTTTGAAGGGTCTAAATAAATCTCCCAGAATAATATACTGAAAAGTTGACAAGCCTATGGGGCCCTAAGCTCTTGGAGCCCCTGGGAAACTGCCCAGTGTGCGCATGCATTAAGACAGACCTATATATAAGTATACTATAAGATAGGGGCAGACATAAACTTATTAGAATGTAATGTGGCATATGTAGGTATTTCTGGGTTAAACATGTATTTTTAAGAAGTCATATAGAAAAAATCCATCAAATTGAAGTTAACTTCACAATTCTTAAAAAAAAAAAAAATCATGCAATATACATTTAAAAAAACTGCTATTCACGTATTTACGGTTTCGGTTCCAATGCCTGTTTTTGGTGCTCTTGTTGCATTTAATGATGAAGTGTGTAAAATCCATTAATGTGCAGTGCAATGAGTCAAGGGATAAGGCTGCTTCCCCATATAAAGTCACAGAGTGAGAGGTGGACATATAACCGCTTTTTTGTTGGCAAAACTCCGTAATGTTGAATTGGATAAAGTGAGGGAAGGGGTCCTTTGCTCCATAAGTTATGGGGCTTGGCGCGTGTCTATAAAATTCCTGGAGGTGTTTGTCAGCAGTTTGGTATATTTAATTATACCCGTGCGTACTGTTTTTTAAGCTATGTAATAACTGCGAGTGCTATTTTCTAATTCCACTTTTCAGCAATTGACTTTTGCTGCAAAACAGAAAAATTAAAATCAAGAAACCCCTGTACGATGATTAAGGTTACAATCACCAATTGTCACATGTCACATATTGCTAAGAGAAATATCTTTACCTAATGATATATAGCACTATTCACCTGTCTCTGAGCTTTGTCTACAGACTGTTTTAATGCTGTTCTTCCAAGTGTCCAATTAACAAATATTCAGCATTAGGAAACTCACTGATTCAAGTGAGCTGTGAATTACATTAGGGATGTGCATGGGCAAAAAATTTGGTTTGGTTCGGCACTTCCGAAATTCGAGACTTCGGCAAATCGGCACTTCAGTTCAGTTCAGCACTTCCGAAATTCGGGAATTCAAAAACTCAGGAATTCGGGAATTCGGGACTTCGGGACTTCAGCAATTCCATAACCCTACCGCTAACCCTAACCCTAACCCTACCCTTAACCCTACTCCTAACCCTAGTCCTAGCCCTAATCCTAGTCCTAGCCCTAACCCCAGCCCTACCCCTAACCCTACCTCTACCCCGAACCCTAACCTTGAACTTCAGCAATTCGGTTCGGATCGGCAATTCCAAAATTCGGGACTTCAGCAATTCGGCTCAGTTTGGCACTTCGGAAATTCGGCACTTTGTAAATTTGGACATCCGGAAGCATCCGAATGTCTGAATTGCTGAAATTCATCCGAATTTAAATTCAGCATTTTCCATTATTTGGTTCTTGATCATGTGAGAAAAAGTAACCTACTGTAGAGAGGCAAAAACAGGAGGAGCAGTAAAAAAACAAATCTATATTTATATATTATATGATTATTACATATTTATAACAAATATAGATTTTTTTAGTCCTCTTGTTTTTCCCTTATCACTCAACTTTTACTTGAGCTGTGTATAAAATCAACATTTAGTGACTTTCCGCTAGCCATATTTTTCCATCTATGAACTTTTTATGGCTCCATGGGAGGAATCTAGAATATTGACCATTCCTCCCCCATGAACATGTTTCACATTTCACATTTCACATTTTGGTTAGTCTATAATTTAGGTATATTTCTGCTCAGAATTCGGCCCAAATTCACTTGAATTTCTTTTCGATCCAAAATTAATCTCCAAGTCTATTAAATAATAACTGTAGAGGAGCTCCTTGTACCTTGGCTGGGTGCCTCCGACACGTGTTCCTAACCCAAAATAGTTCCAGGGCGTTTGGTGCTTTTGCCGATCAACTTTAGGAGGCTCATGTGGCCGAAATACGAGGTGCTCCGCCTGCCACTCAGGAAGCGTTTGTTCCCCTTAGTCTCAGGCACCTTCCCTCCAAAAAGCGCTCTCCTGGCGGGTCACACAGTGGTTAAAAACCCGGACCAAGTTGTCGGGAACCGCAAGGTCACTGCATGCCAAACAGTTCTATAACATTTGCGGCTAAGTACCGCTGAGGTGACCGGGAACCACGAAAGTCCTCATGCCAAAATAAGTTCCATAGCGGCCGTGTCTAAGTACCGCTGAGGACCATTCGTGGGTTTGTTCATGCAAATGGCTGCCAGGGAGCTAGCATTCGGTTCTGTTAATGGCGGCTGAGCAAGATAACTCCCGAAGCATAGTCGGTGGGCAGGAGGCCAGCTTTCACACTTCTCCAAGAGTTCATGGCAAATGTTTGTGGGAAGGGGTGTTTGTTACAATAACATTAATCACTTTAGTGTCTGACGTACCAACTAAGCAATGGGAAGCAAGAATGTGATTTTCAACCCTTACAGGTTAATTTACTAAAGTTTGAATTGCTAAGAACACCTGCCTTGCAAAGACATCTCATTGAGTTTATTTGTGAAGTATGAACAATCACAGAAAGTCTAGATTGGCTTTAGAAGGGGAGGGCTTGCAATGGCTTCAGGCAAGAGATCTGCAGTTTTTGCAAGCTGTTAAATGAATGCATGTTTTCATTGGGGTATATCCACTAAATAGTGTTTTTTTATTTTTTTATTTTTATTTGGCAAGTGGAGTGTACTTTTTTTTTTTTTTGAGTGTACACTTTTTCCAGACCAGCTATTGTGACCTTAAATTTGAAATTCACTTCGCATTCCCAACCTTTAAACAGACTTGCAAGAGCAACTGATTACAACAGTGATACAGCATGTAAGCATGTAAGCTCATTCTCTATATAAGCATGTAAGCTCATTGAGCAGGGCCCTCAATCCCTCTGTTCCTGTGTGTCCAACTTGTCTGGATACAAATACTTGTCTGTTAGTCCACCCATTATACAGCGCTACTGAACTTGTTGGCGCTTTATAAATAATAATAATATAGCTATTCATGCCACTTAATGATTCAAAGTACTTTTTTTCACTGGGGACAGTATCTTCCCACTTGCTCACTCTTGCTGTGTACTACTTTAAGTAGTGCACCCTCAAAAACATTGAGAAGTAAACATTCTATGAAAAAAACTGACATTCCAAGTTACGCAATTTTAATGTTTTTATGCAACTGAACAAAAAGTACAGCATAATCTCATAATTTGCTTAATAATGTTAAAATAAAAATATCCGAACTTAGATCCACTGACACACGTGAGGTTTAACTAATTAGTGGATGAGATCGAGCAGGTGGTGTTCTATGGCTTTCTTACTTCTCATGTTTATAACCACAGCGTTAATGTCCATTTAAATACACTTCTTACAGCATGCCATCTAGTCCAATTTAGCTCTCCTGAGCCCATCACTTCATCATCTCTTTTTCGTTTTTTACATGTGTGTACATATTGCTCTCCCCTCTCCCGTCCCTTTTTTTGTTTAGTGTGACCTTGGTCACTGATGACAAGGCTGCTTTTTCTGCCAAACTAATCAATAAGCTAAACAGACAGAAGATGAGTATTTAGAACATGGGATGCCAAATTCAAACATAGATAGGTTATCAGCCTGGCCCAGAGCAGACTTCTAAGCAAATATTTCATTAACATTTTTTTTTCATGGTAACTCGCATGTGAGTGAACAAAAAAAAAGAGAGTGAATAGCAGGAGGGATAAAGTTAAAGAACAATGTTGGAGCCGCAAGGCTTAGCCGTTGCATTGCTTACTTAGTTGTCTTTGGCTCCTAAGTGCTTTTTGATACACATGACAGGTCTCGAGGGAATGGGGTGAGATTTGACTTTGAACCCCTTGATGAGAACAGGAGCACCTTGTGTTTCATTTCTTTGTAGCTTGGTGGAGATTTACAGTAAGGACATGGCTAAAAATACCCTTCATTATTGTCATCAATTTACACTTTAAGTAGTATATAAATCAACACAACGAATGCCCCATGCCCCTTGCCCACATCCATTTAGTGTAGGCTCCTACACTATAACAATATTGCATATTGTTATTGAAACATTAGAAAAATGAAATCAGAGGTGTCTAAACTCAGTCTTCCAGCTATTGTTGAGCTGCAATTTCAAATCAATTGTTGAAATAATCGCGCAGACTTTGGAGCATAGAACAAAAATATCAAAAAAGTGAATGCAAGGGTTCATCACTAAACTGTAAATTGGCATGAATAGCAATACAGCTTACTGAAAATGTTAACAGAATGTAAAAACTAAGCCTGGGTAAATTATATATTACAAAAAAACAACAACATTATTTAAAAGGTTACAGCAATTTTCCTCGATCTTGGTAACGTTAATACATGTCTCTATGAGATTCTTTTAGTGTACACTTTTCAGAATAACCCTGATGTAAAACGGATAATATGCAGCGACATGGAATATAAAATCAGCCTGTGAACCCCATCATACTATATAAAAACAAACCAACTATTATTTAGCAGAATGATGTGGGATTATCAGATAGCTTATCATCTAAATACATGTTTTAGGGGACGAACTAACAAAACATTCGTAACACAGCAAAAGAAGAACCCAGTTAATTTTATATTCCACCAAAACTCAACAACACTGCAAAGAACAGAACAAAAAATAATTTGTGCCTAGGATTTATAGAACAAATTAGGGATAGTAAAAGCTAAAGGCAGACAGCCATTCTGCACAGACAGACAGACACAGACAGACAGACAAAAAATTATTTTGTGCCTAGGATTTACAGAACACATGAGAGATAGTAAAAGCTAACGGCAGACAGCAAGACACAGATAGATAAATAGATATATAGATAGATAGAAGTTCAGAAATACTTCATTATTAATGGTTTATTCAGAAAAAAATTGACATATTCCCACCTCTTGGACTAGTACTACACATTTGTGTTCTACTTTGATATATATTAAATAAGAGTTGGTGCAGTCAAAGGAGAAAATGGAAAGCTTAGTTCTAAAAGCAACACTGCCTTCAAACATCTTTCCTCTGAATAGTACTAGATCTGTCTCTTACAATAAAACGCAATATAAGTTCAAGGACTTGCTATTATCAGATACTATGTATTTATTAACAGTATTGAATTTCAGGCAAACCGTAATTATTAACAATGAAACTGAGAAAGAACCATAGTTGACTTGGAATCTAGCATTCCTATACCGTTAATTGAATTACTCTTTTCGAGTATGATTATTACAATAAATAGGAATTGTGATTTTAGCCGTGTTACTGGGTTTAATATCTAACACAAGTGTAGAGAAAGTTTAACTTTCTGTCCTTAAGCCACAGTTAAATTAGATAAAATGGCACAGCTACACATCAGTGGGATCTTTGTGGTGTACAGCATTGCTAAATTGTATCTAGTAAAGACATTGCCATCAAAATGGCACATTCAAAACACTAAACATTGTTTGAGCGATGGAATAATGAAACTTCATCTATCAAAGTGCAGCTGTATTACAGAATCGTTCATAGCTGAGCATTTGTAATGTCAAAGAATGGGTTAACATTTGGTTATTTAAGCGTACCTTGGATTACAATAAACAGAATTTTATCACATGACAGGAGGCTTCGTATTTTGCATAATCTTTCTTTACTAACTACATAGCAGCAAAGAAAAGAGTGACAAAACTGAGAACCAATCACAATGCAGTATAGAGTATAAGAGGCATGACATATGACATCATTTCCTCTTTCTTTTCTGCTCCATCATAAGTTAACTACAAAAAATTTAGTCTCTCTGTCCTTCATTATTTAGCTTATATATCATATATATTATCATTATTTTCATAGCTGTGACATTGTACATATATGCTATATTCATTCCTATTTATTTATCTAGACTGTTGCCCTCCATTTCAGGGTTCTAACCCCTCTGCTCTGGGGTCTTTTCTCCTCAGGGACCTTCCCCCTGTTTGGTTCCCCTTTTTTTGTCTCCTGAGGTAGAGCCGAAAAAATCCACTAGGGAAGCTAGTGGCAATACCTCAAGGGGGTAGGGAGGGAGATGGGAGAGACACAGGGAAAGGGGGAGGGAGGGAGAGGGGAGAGACACAGGGAAAGGGGGGAGGGAGAGAGATGGGGAGAGGGGAGAGACACAGGGAAAGGGGGAGAGAGAGATGGGGAGGAGGGGAGAGACACAGGGAAAGGGGGGAAAGAGATAGGGAGGAGGGAGAACACAGAAAAAGGGGGAGGGAGAGATGGGGAGAGGGAGAACACAGGGAAAAGGGGAGGGAGAGAGGGGAAAGGGGGAGGGAGAGATGGGGAGAGGGACAGACACAGGGAAAGGGGGGAGAGATGGGAGAGACGGGGAAGAGAGATGGGTTGGAGGGAGAGAGACACAGGAAAGGGGAGGAAGAGATGGGGGAGAGGGGGGAGACACAGGGAAAGGGGGGAGAGATGGTGAGAGGGGAGACACAGGGAAAGGGGGAGATGGGGGGGAGAGAGGGAGGGAGAGGGAAAGGGGGGAGGGAGAGAGATGGGGAGGAGGTAGAGACACAGGGAAAGGGGGTGAAAGAGGCAGAGGGGGAAGAGAGAGACAAAGAGGGAGAAATGAGAGACACACACAAGGGGAGGGGAAGAAAGAGGCAGAGGGGGAAAAGAGAGACTGGGAAGGAGCAGTGAGGGGGAGAAAGAGAGGACCCGGGGCAACGCTCCAGCTCTCATGAGGGTGAACTCTAGCCCTGGAGCTACGGGCTAGAGTTCACTCTCACCACTTCCTGGTGGTCGCAGTAGTAGGAGTGAACTCTAGCCCCATACACACACTGCCCACACACACACACATACACATTCACACACTGCCCCCACACACACACACCATACACATTCACACACTGCCCCCACACACCCACACACTGAACCTTTCACACACATTGCACCCCTCACACATTGCACCACTGCTACTATACCCTACTACAGCCCCATATCCCAGCAGACTCCAGGTAAGTTGTCAAACTGTTCTTAAACGGTTTGACTACTTACTCTGGGAGGGGGTGCCGACACTCCTGGCACCATAACCACTACACAGAGGAGTAGTGGTTATTGTGCATGGAATATTTCTTTAAATAATCTACAAGTGCCCCTCCCGGGCTCAGGCTCTGGATCTGTCACTGGTATATGACATGTATATTAATGTGTATATTTGTTATATATATATATATATACCTATTATATTTACACATATTAATGTACATTTATATATGCATAATACACAGAGAAATGTCATTAATATGTACCATATGTAATGAGCAGATATTGGCCCAGTCTTGTTGCTAGGTCCATACTCCAGCACAATAACATATTTAAAGTGAAGAGCACACCCACAGGACTTCAAAATAAACATTTTCTTACAGTTGTGCCCTACATACATTCACCATTTCAGTCCCATTAACAAGCTTTCCTTAATATGTCAAGGTAGTTGGACTGAAACATTGATTACATGCAAAGGCACGTCTGCTTAAAATAAATCTGCACTTTTGTTTATTTTGAAGCCTATGAGTGCGCTTTTTACGATAAAATATTAGAAATATGGTAAAAACAGTAATAAATTCCGTGCTACTATTACTAGGTGTGAATCACTCAACCACACAGAATCAAAGTGCATAGGAAATAATAAAATAGTGAGAGCACACAATACATGCAAAAAACTATATTACCAGTATTGTCCTGGGTAAATAGCTAGAACATTAAAAAAAGGGAGAAGAGAAAAAATAACGAAAAAAATCCGAAATGAAATGGATTTTTAATATGGAGACTTTGTCTCCATATGGTCTAAATATAGATTTTGATGTCAATTCATATTTATAAAAAAAATTTTTTTAATTTTTTTATTTTATTTATATAGGGTATACTTTTAATGTGTGGATTTATATGTTTATCTTGATTTTTATTAACTTTAATATAGATATGTTTTAATATGTATATAGTGCTGTAAAGGCTATTTCCTCATGTTGAATAATATATTAATGTTTTTATTTCTCCTTGATCTATATGTTTACTATTTTTCCTCTGTTTGAGGACCTTATGTAGAGAATGTGTATTCTTTCGTGATTATGCCAGAGAGAACAGGCAAATATGAACAATTAAAAAATGGCATCGATAATGCTTCCGGTATACAATGCCGGGATGACGTCATGACGTGCGGGACATGTCTGTCGACGCTTGATGACGAAAGCGGAAGTAAAGAGAGACGGAGAGCGCGGGAATGAGCGCTAATCCTACACAGTATAAAGGGGCAATTCGGAGATGGACCTGTAATACCACTTGAGAAAGGCTTTCCTGCCGAAACGTGTCGTGGTATTTTATATGGACTTAATTTTACCTGTATTCGATTTTTAAATAGTTTTTGAACCTTGAGCAAATAAATATTTTTAATGAGATCCAGTATCCTGGAATATTTTGAATTTGACATCCAGAGATTGCATCAACCGCCTCGGAGGCACACATTCCCAGGCACTGGTGGAACTCACAAAAGAGATCTTTGATTACTGCCTACCACGCAACATCACGTTGCTGGCAGAACATCTACCGGGAGAATCCAATATGACAGCGGACTGGTATTCACGTCACTGGCGGGACGCCAGCGATTGGCAACTAGGCCCTCATATTTTCACAATACTGGATGCACAGAGGGGCCCTTTCTCCCTAGATCTACAACAATGGCCACGTTACGGAGCTTACGCATTCCCACCTTTCGCAATGATAATGAGGGTCCTTCATCGGATTCGCATACAGAGAGTGAGGATAACCCTCATCACGCCACTTTGGCAGAGCCAGCCATGGTTCCCGGACCTTCTGGAACTGTCAATCAGGGACCCCTCCTCCTACCAGATGCTCCGACCATCCTCAGGAATCCGTTGGGACTACCTCACTCGCTGGTCATGGAGCAACGACCTGGTCGCCTGGACTCTTTCTGGGGTTCCTGGGGAACCAAGGACTTATCGCAGGAAACTAAGGACCTCCTATGGGACTCATGAGCACCAGGAACAAGGAGGTGCTACTTATCAGCATGGCACTCCTGGACAAGTTGGTGTGTGGGACGAGACCTCAATTCCTTTACTGCACCTATTCCCTCCATCATGCATTTCCTAACCTCTCTGTTCACAGCCGGAAAGTCATAGGTCCATCAACGTAGTACGCTCAGCCATCTCAGCGGCCCATACTCTGGTCCAAGGGAACCTGTTGGTCAGGATCCGCTCATCTGCAGACTCCTCCACGGCATGCGCCTTCAGCGCCCCCCAGAACCCAAATATTCAAGACTTTGGGACGTTGGCGTTGTCTTACAGTTCTTACGGGACTGGCCTCCTAACGAAGATTTGTCACTCCGCCAACTTACCATGAAATTCACCTTCTTGCTCTGTCTGGTTTCCTTTCGATGGATATCTGACGTACGTGCCTTCGACGCCGACGCATTTACTTTTTGCCCGGCGGGTGTTACCTTTCAGGTCTCACGACGCACTAAGTCCAACTCTCCCTCGGTCTTCTACCCATTTTTTCCTTCAGACCCTCAGCTCTGCGTGGTCTCTACTCTCCGTCAATACGTGGAAGCCACCGCGACGTTGCGGCAATCTTCCACTTGTCAACTTCTCATCTCTTACGTCCGCCCTTACGGTCTAGTTTCGGCTACTACGCTGGCCAGATGCGTTAGATGGCTACTATCCCTTGCCGGTATTGACCAAACTTTTGGGGCACATTCCGTTTGCGGGGCCGCTGACTCTTCCGCTTATGCGGCAGACGCCTCCCTTTCAGACATCTTACGAGTGGCGGACTGGACCAGAGAGTCCACCTTTAGGACGTTCTACTTCCGTCCTCTTGATAATGGTGCTTTTTCTCTGCTTTCCCAGCTTGAAATTGCAAAATACGAAGCCTCCAATCATGTGATAAAATTGAAGATTATGTTAGCTTTAGCGTACCGATAATCTTAATTTTAATAATGACAGGATTATCCCTCCCTACTCTCTTTCGTCCTTCCCTCCCTCTGTTTTTCATACATATTTACAACACTTTGTTTCTTCTATTATTGCATTAATGCCTATTTATGGTCACTCAAACACTTGATGCATATACTCTATATGGGTGGGATGTTTTAGTTAGCACCGTTAGACGGGAGGACTATATTGGTTGTCATTATATTGGTTGTTTTTAATTTAATCGTAAGGGATAGACATTCATTGTTTTACACAACCACTTTTGGAATCTAATACCTTTTATATTCTCTTTTCAGTTTAACCAGAAACCTCAAGGGACTAAAGACTCCATTCAAGGTTTCATCATCTTCACGTCATGGAAGAGCATCACTTGAAATCAAGACGTCTTCGCTTGGAGCCTACCTGTTTCACGTTCAAGTTATTCATGTTGTTTCTACCATTATCTTACTATGGAATTTTACTAGTTGTTCTATTATTATCCTACTTTGAGATCTTGTGATGTCGCATTCTTTAAGAGGAAATTATGTCATATGTCACGCCTCTTATACTCTATACTGCATTGTGATTTGTTCTCAGTTTTGTCACTCTTTTCTTTGCTGCTATGGAGTTAGATAAGAAAGATTATGCAAAATACTCGCCTCCTGTCATGTGATAAAATTAAGATTACCGGTACACTAAAGCTAACATCATCTTCAATTTTGGTGGAACTTTGCTGCAATGAGAAATACATGAAAACAGAGTTGAGCTCTAGTAAATGAATCTAAAATGCCAGGTGGAAGCTAGGCACCACATATCATGCTGATAATAAAGACGTGCATGGAGTTATTTAGATAAATCTGTAGCTTTAAAGCGTCAGTTACAATGACTAGTTAAAAATAACATTAACTAAGTTCCTTTAGTGTACACTTTTAGGAATAACCCTGATGTACATAATAATAATAATGGGCAACTACATGGGATATAAAATCAGCCTGTTCCAAGATGATATTTTGCTTTCTCTTACACACTCTATATTATTCCTTTCTTGTATAACATCATTTTCATACATTTATGGACATAAACTCAACAGGCATAAGAGCGAATGATTAAACGTGTCTATCAGGAATGATATCGTAAACTTAACATTCTCATTTTGGTTCGAAGGAAACCCTGATAGAATGAATTACCTTGAAGTATAAATACCTTGGAGTATAAATCCCTCCTGAAGATTTCTCCTGGTGGTTCTGCACAACATCCACTGGTGATATTCACAAGTTTGGCCTGAACCCAACATTTACTTTTCCTGGAAGACATGGTTCAAATACTTTCTTAGCAATATGGAAACCTAATGTCCATAATGGAGTTCTGAAGCTTCTTATTGTTTGTCATCATTGACTCCCTTTGAACATATTTACAAATGCATATATCTAGTGAAAGGAGCATTTCTTGAGAATTTAGGTTAAACTCCAAAACTCAAAGGTAAGAGGCAAATCACCTATTAATGCCTTTGTGGGAGAGGTCTGGTTGAGGTCTTGAATGACGATTCTTGTAGAAAAATCTTTGAGAATTGGCATAGTTTATCACTATGCACTATTATCAAGGAGAACGCTATCAATGTATTTCCATATGGTACTTGGTATCTGTTAGGCTTGTGCATTCAATCTCGCACAAATTGTGATTTGTCTGAAATTTAGGTGATTAGCTAGTCGTCAGAATTCCTTAACTTCAACTTGCCATACGAATGAATCACGAAACAAATTAAATGGACAATGGAAGAGTTACTTCTTTTGATACGTGATTTAGAGTTCCATCTAAAAAAGAGATGATTGATGGAAAAAATGATTAATGGTTAGGGGACAGCACCTATTTTTTTTTTTTATTCACAGATAAAGTAATAAATGACCTGTCTGTCTTGATCTGTAAGTCCCACAGGATCTTATCCCTTTGTAATATATAGTGCAGATACACAATAAAACACATGCAGATAAAACACTGGCACACATACAGATACAGACACACAGATACAAACACTGACACACATGCAGATACACAGACAAAAACACTGACACACATACAGATGTACAAACACTGACACACATACAGATGTGCAAACACACAGATACAAACAATTACACACACATATAAACACAGACATACAGATACACACACTGATACACATAGATACAAAAAACAATATTCATACAGATGCACAGACACACAGATACAAACAATGGCATACCCACAGATGCACAAACTTGCAAGTACACACACTGATCTACATACAGGTACACAAATAGAAACACTGACTTACATACAGATACAGTAGTAATTTACAAACGGAGGATAACACACTTAACACACTTAGGAATCCAGGTGCTTATCAGGGCCAGGGTTGGCAAATAGATCAAATAAATTAGGTCCAAGCACTCAGGATTGCTGCAGGAAGGCAGGTTTCTTGGAACAAAAAGTTCAATGTTTCAGCCTACACCGAGGCCTTTATCAAGCTCGTTATTTTAAATTATTTTATTTACATAAAGATAGAGACACACACAAAGACAAACATACAGATATACAGACACACGAACACACACATTTGTCTTCAGTTTCAAACAAATTGCAATTTGTCTGCATCGTGGACGATCGGCGAGTTCTCCGAAATTCTTCACTCTGGACTCACATCACCATCACCAGGGATCAGCTGGTCTAAATGCATAAAATATACAACTGAATGATCAAAGGTTACTGAATGCTAAACAATGTGAGTCTTGACTGTATATGAACAGAATTTGAATAGTAAAATACATTCTATTTGGTTGATCGAATTCTGACCAAAATTAGCTTCACTAGGAAGGAGCAAAAATGAGCTTATCACTGTACAGCTAATATATATACAAATTTTTAGTTCGTCCACATTTTTTTGCCCAGATTTTTTTGTATGGGAGATATTAGACGGAGATAAAGAGGCAGGTCTATTAATTTTCTTTCAAAAAAATAAATCCAAATGTAAAACTAAATTGAGTCCACCGAACCAAATTTTTGTGGCCTGAAATGGTCTATTTTTTTTAAACAAAATAACTGCTGCAAATGTAACTTTTTTCAATTATATTCAAAATCTGATTTTAAATTTATTTCTATGCATTATATTTTAATTATAATTAGAATTCCAAATATTGAAAATACTTGATATAGAAGGTCTACAACGAGTGCATATTATGTACTCATAGTACATACAATGTAATACATTACATACCATGTAAAATAAATGAAAAAAACATACAATTTTAAGGTACAAAACCAAAAGTGAAAAAAATGCAAAATACACAACATATTATTTGTCAAAGTAAATCTCCAAAATAATCATGTCAATCTCTCATCCTCAATGCATTATGCATGACTTTCAATTCCAAATGACATGTCTGTGCAGTCATTTTATCTTGTTCTTCATTATACAAATTCATCCGAGAAAGACAAATGGAAACAATATTGTGAGTTAAAGACAGAGCTTGATGTTCTTATAGAACAGATGCTTCAATCTTTACCTTTTACAGAATTACATTAAAAAAAACACCCAAAGCCAGAAGAAATATGTAATAGCTTTAAGCACCAGAAATATTTATTACTTTTATAACAGTAATCCACTAGAATAATCTCAAAAACAATTCCCCAGGAATATATGAAAACTCCCATTGGATTGGACTAGATTCAATTTCTCTGTTTGATTGCACAAACTGCGAGCAATATGTGAGACAAACTGACCAAACTGTGTCCATTAACAAATGAGCAACCTGGATTTCATAGATGGAGCTATCTTAAACTCTAACTACAGCATCTAACATAATGAAACAATGGTGTTTTGTTTCCTAAAACTCAAGATTATTATTACAAGTCTCCAAAACCTCCAAATTATGTCATTTTCATATCTTTTCCAAGGAAGTTACATTGAACTTTCTGCCATTTCTTTGCAAGTCAGTTCTCCAATCAAATCAGTTCCCATTTAACAAGTCAGTTCTCCAATCAAATTAGTTTCCATTTAACAAGTCAGTTCTCCAATCAAATCAGTTCCCATTTAACAAGTCAGCTTTCCAAAAAAATCAGTTCCCATATAACAAATCAGTTCTCCAATCAAATCAGTTCCCATTTAACAAGTCAGTTCTCCAATCAAATCAGTTCCCATTTAACAAGTCAGTTCTCCAAAAAAATCAGTTTCCATTTAACAAGTCAGGTCTCCAATCAAATCAGTTCCCATTTAACAAGTCAGTTCTCCAATCAAATCAGTTCCCATTTAACAAGTCAGTTCTCCAATCAAATCAGTTTCCATTTAACAAGTCAGGTCTCCAATCAAATCAGTTCCCATTTAACAAGTCAGTTCTCCAATAAAATCAGTTTCCATTTAACAAGTCAGTTCTCCAATAAAATCAGTTTCCATTTAACAAGTCAGTTCTCCAATAAAATCAGTTCCCATTTAACAAGTCAGTTCTCCAATTAAACCAATTCCATTTAACAAGTCAGTTCTCCAATTAAACCAAGCCAGTTCTCCAATAAAATCAGTTTCCATTTAACAAGTCAGTTCTCCAATCAAATCAATTCCCATTTAACAAGTCAGTTCTCTAATTAAACCAGTTCCCATTTAACAAGCCAGTTCTCCAATAAAATCAGTTTCAATTTAACAAGTCAGTTCTCCAATCAAATCAGTTCCCATTTAACAAGTCAGTTCTCTAATTAAACCAGTTCCCATTTAACAAATCAGTTCTCCAATCAAATCAGTTCCCATTTAACAAATCAGTTCTCCAATAAAATCAGTTCCCATATAACAAGTCAGTTCTCCAATCACCATGTGCTGTTTCAATAGGTGACCATCTTGAGAAGTGGCAAGGCAGTTGCATGTTTTAGCCAGAGTAATGTAACCAAAATTAATTTTTAGCTCAGCTATTCTTCTGTCTACAGTGTGTTTCACACTTTGTGAATAATATTAAAAGAAGCCCTGGAGAGATAATAAGACTGTGATCTATCCCCCACTGTGAATCATATTAAAACAAATCAAATAAAAACTCTACCAGTTTAGATATCATGTGGTTACCAATTTTAACTTGAATCAGGAGGCAGAACCCTCAGAGGAGGACCAATAGCTAAGAAAACACTTGAATTGTGCTGATTGCCAACAATCTATACCCTTCCTCCTCCCCTCTGGATATTGGTCATAATTGGCCATCGTCACCCTAAGCAAAATGATTTATGACAACAATTATTCAGATCTACAAGCATGGTATTATTTACATGTGTTTTTATCCAACCCTTCTTTTCCTTTGTTATTGATTAGGTATTCCCCACATGTAAAAGCTGGCATGAATATCCAGAAAAAAAAAAGATAATTTCTCCATACCATTTTTTCAACATGTAGGACTGCATTAGATGTCCTTCTGTTTTAGAGCTATGAACCTAGACTTATTAGCGCAGACTGGGCAAGAAGAAATCTTTCATTTTTTTTCTGTTCTTTAAGTTCTTTAAACCATACGTGGTGAAACTACGCGTACAAAATACTTGCATTGATCTTAACTACAAAAAGAAAAGTTG